TGTTAGTCAGTGTAAGTACATTTATTTGCGTGTCTGTAGGCCCATGTGTGCGTCTTAGTCCATGCGTGTGCTTTATTGACCTGCTCAAGGCCTATGATACCATCAGTAGGCCTGGCCTCTGGGTTGTTCTTCGTGCTTTCCGAGTCCCTCACCCACTGCTCACCATCCTTAAGGACCTTCATGATGGTGAGCGGCCCCGCGTCAAACTACGTGGCCGTGAGTCGGAGCCATTCCCTGTACACCTTGGGGTGCAACAGGGATGTCTTCTGGCTCCCACATTATTTTACATATATTTAGACCACGTAGTTCCTGAAGCCTTCAATGGCTGTACCGGAACAATTTCCATCTGGTAAAGACACAATGGGAGGCTGATCGATGCCCGGGTGCGGTCAAGGGATGGCTCCCTATTGCTCAACCACGTTATGTATGCCGATGATCTGCTAATTGCTGCTCACTCGGAGGAGGAGTTTGAGGTGCTGTTGCTGAACCTGGAGCCTTACCATCAGCCCCACAAAAACTAAGCACCTGCCTGGGTATTTTCTACCATCGGGCACTCCACCCCCACAACTCCCAATCGGTGATGGGGCAGTTGTGGTGACAGTGGAGAGTTTCCCATACCTTGCCAGTGTGCTAATGACCGGCTCCGGTTTAACACCAAAGGTCTCACTCCGAGTCAGTCGAGCCACATTATCTTTTCATTGGCTGCGTAACACTGTGTGGAAGCTACCTGGTCTATCACTCCGCACGAAGCTTCAGGTCTTCTCGGCCACGGTCATTCCCTCCCTTCTCTACGCTTGCGAAACTTGGACCCCCCTAATGGAACATCTTCGCCGGTTATAAACATTTAGGATGGCCTGCCTACGATCCATCCTGGGTTTAACCATATATGTGTGTATGTCTAAGTCGATGTGTTTCTATGTGTGTGGGTCAATGTCTGTGTGTCAGTCCATGTGTGTGTCTGCCTTTTTCGCCCGAGCAACGCCGGGTACTTACCACTAGTACCTAATAAATTAACTTGAACTTGAACACTATCCATAGACTCAACACTGCCGATTGACTCAACACTGCCCATAGACTCAACACTACCCATTGACTCAACACTACCCATAGACTCAACACTGCCCATAGACTCAGCACTGCCCATAGACTCAATACTGCCCATAGACTCAACACTACCCATAAACTCAACACCACCCATAGACTCAACACCACCCATAGACTCAACACTACCCATAGACTCAACACTACCCATAGACTCAACACTACCTATAGACTCAACACTACCCATAGACTCAACACTGCCCATAGACTCAACACTACACATAGACTCACAAACGGGTGTGTGCAGCAGGGCCGTCCCCGCGGATAGAGACGGGTCCGCTCGGGTGTGATGAGCAGTTCGTTGTACGAGTCCGCAATGCTCCATCCGTGGCAAATAGGTTCTCCAGTCCTGTAGGCAGTATAGAACAATCCTCCTTATGGCCCGTTACCTCAGACGTGGTGGTCGGCGCACCAGACACATCAGACACAGGCCACCAGGGATGTGGGGATAAATCGACCGGGCCGAACGGAACACTTGTTTTCAACCGCGAAGGATGCACTAACCAGCACCGCCGGCCCAATCGGATACATACGCAATGCGGCCACCGAACCTCAATGACCTCGACAGGTCCATGCCAGGGACGGTACAGTTTCGGGGATGTGCCAATAGGCACTTGGAGGAAATATAACTAATGGTTTAATGATATCAGATAACAACGAAGACAACTCGGTTTGCTTTTAAAATAAGACATTACTCTGTGTTTTGTTTTGTTTGAATTAACACAATTCGCCTCCTGTCAAAAAAAAACTCTGCAGCAGCAGCAATTCACCATGGCCATCCCACCCTGGGCGTCGAGCCTCCGAGGAGCCGACAGGCAGCAGCAGCAGCAAGTGCCACCGTCTCAACCCTTTCCCATCCCAATCCCCGCGTCCATCAACAACAACAGCAGCGGCGGCAACAGCATCAGGGGGTCCGTTCTGCCGCTGCCGTCTTCCGAAGAGGCCACTTTGGGCGCCAGCTCGCCACCTTTCCTCTGCAGGCACCGTTTAGACGTGATGGACAACGACGTTGAGACCTGGTGGCTCCATTTTCTCGATTTCATGGACGACTACTCCTGGTCGTCGTCCTACTCGTCCACTTCATCGTCGTCACCGCCGCTGAGGTGCGCCGTGGAGGTGTTCCCCTTCGACAGGTCGTGTGACGGAGCGGGGGTCAGTGGCCGGCTTCGTCGGGGTCGGGGTCGAGGTGGCTGTGGCCGGACCCGGCAGCGGCAACAGCAGCAGCAGCAGCCCCCCCGCTGTGATAACAATATGTAACACGATATTTATCCCTGGGTACTAAGTGTTATTTGTTTAGTTGCGTATGCCTAAAAAGTATAGAAAATGGCTATTCCCACAGACGTTGCTTTTGTGACCAGCGTGAAGGAATGACACATTCACCATTTTCTCATTGAAAATTGTACATTTCAAATTATCAATGTCCTCGTCACAAAAGTAAAGTTTGTGAGGAATGATAGACATTTTCTGTACTTTTGAGGCATAAGCAATTAGAAAATAACACTTACTACCCAGGGACAACATTTTTTTTGTTACACTGCACGCAGACCGGGGGAGAGCTGCGCCATGCAGCTGTGGCTGCAGGCGCGGCAGCAGCATCGGCGGTGGTGGCAGGAGCGTCAGCAGCTGCGGATGCAGCAGCTGCAGCAGTGGCAGATGCTGCAGAGAGACGAAGACAACTACAGCACTCGGCAACAGGACCCGGTGAGTGTGAGTGTGTCGGGTGGGGGGTCACTATATTTAATGCTGTATTTCAGCTTTTAATATACTCAACACATTCCCAACAAATTCACAGCCCTCTGTCAATCCACTGCTGGATGAAGTCCTTCGCACGCCACGTCGTTAATGGTTGTTAGATCGGTCACCAAACATGCGCCACTGATATTATCCATGGCTGTGAATCTAACTGAGGTCATCGAGTTCAGTGAGAGTGCAGTGAGATAAACACTGCGCCACCGTTTTACCAAAACAGTGACAAAAAACCAATGCAGCCCTTAGTGTTTTGCCTACCCAAACAAATGTCATCACTGCCCCCCGATCTCCCGCCATGAAGCACAGGTGCTTTTTGGTGCCAAGAACCAGCATGTGGATGGTCATTACTTGCTTGGTAAGTCAGGGGGAGTCCTATTCATTACACCCATCGTTTATTCAGAAGAAAACAAGACAACCAGGGAAGTGACCATTTCTCATGTTATCCTAATGATAGGGGTTTCCATTTAAAGAAAGCTGTCTCTGGTGTGGACCAATCAGTTTCAAGGACAATGCATATATTATCAGTGTGTTTTTTGTTTGCATTTTGACCACAAGAATTGTGGTTAATGCAGTTACACGAATCCTCGTAAAAAGGTTTCAGTTTTGTTGCCAGAAAAAAGGGGAAAAACCATATTATTATATTTTGGTACTGGCAAAGGAGGTCCAATGATCATGTGATCCTTTTGACAACTCGACTATGCTCCAGAACATGTTCCATTAGCCACTCGGCATTGCCACGACCTATAGGGTTTGTCAAAAAAGGGCATTTGGAGTGAGTCCTGGAGTTGGTTTGTAGTTGACAACCAACTCGAGTTTCTGCTTTTGAGTTTTAAAACTGAACTTCCTGACCAGTCTCACATACAATGACCTCAATTATTTATTTTTGCTCTTTCAAAGATAGTGCTTCCTTATTTTTTAGTTTTATGGAATTATCAGTTGGGCGCTTGGGCGACCTGCAGGGTTGGGGCAGAGGGGAGCGAGTGGCTGCAGGGGTTGGAGTTCGGGTGCTGGAGGTGGGGTTGTTGAAGGTGTGAGTGGAGGAGGAGGTGTTGGGTTTGGCTATTGGCCAGGGCGTGACAGCTGGCGTGCAGCCCCTAGTCAGCTCGCCTTCCCCGCTGTTCCCGCCGCTTGCCGCTAAATGTCACAACCACAATAATAAGTAGCGGCAGCGGCCACTCGCCATGGTCACACCGAAGCCCGGCGGCGTCACTCGCGATAGACGCCCGCTCGCCAAGCAGACCGGTTGCTCCACCTGACAATTCCCCAACATCACAGAGCGCTATTTGCAAAGACGGCGACAATGGTTTAATAATGATAGCAGATGACAAAGAAGAAAAATCGGTTTACTTAAAAAAAAGACATTACTCTGTGGTTTTGTTTTGTTTTAATTAACACATTTCGCCTCCTGTCAAAAAAAACTTCTGTCACGGCGCGCAGGATCAGCAGAGGTACCTGCAGTGGTTCACGGCGTCGGGCCTCCAAGGAGCCGACAGGCAGCAGCAGCAAGTGCCACCGTCTCAACCCATTCCCATCCCAATCCCAGCGTCCATCAACAACAAGAACAGCTTCAGCACCAACAGCAGCAGATGGGCCCATCTGATTCGAACGTTTTCCTTCGCGGCCACTTTGGCTGCCCGTTCGTCACACCGCAGGCACCGTTTAGACGTGCTGGGCATCGAGGTCGTGACACGGGAGCTCACTTTGCTGTATTCAAACGCATCATTCTTCCCGTCGTCGTCCTACTCGTCCATTTCGTCGTCGTCGTCGACGCCGCTGAGGTGCACCGTGGAGGTGTTCCCATTCGACAGGTCGTGTGACGGAGCGGGTGCAGTGGCCGGCTTCGTGGGGGTCGGGGTCGAGGTGGCTGTGGCCGGACCCGGCAGCGGCAACAGCAGCAGCAGCAGCAGGCCCCCGCTGTAATAACACTATTAACACGATATTTATCCCTGGGTACTAAGTGTTATTTGTTTAGTTGCGTATGCCTAAAAAGTATAGAAAATGGCTATTATTCCCCACAGACTTTGCTTTTGCGTCCAGGACTTTACGCGAAGGAATGACACATTCACCCGTTTTCTTATTGAAAACAGGTACATTTCAAAATATCAATGTCCTCGTCACAAAATCAAAGTTTGTGGGGAATAATAGCCATTTTCTGTACTTTTGAGGCATAAGCAATTAGAAAATAACACTCACTACCCACGGACAAATTTTTTTTTGTTACACAGTGTACGCAGACCGGGGGAGAGCTGCAGCCAGCAGCAGCTGTGGCTGAAGAAGCAGCTGCAGCAGCAGCTGCTGCTGCTGCAGGAGCAGGAGCAGCAGCTGCAGGAGCAGCAGCTGCAGGAGCAGCAGCAGCTGCGGCAAGAGCAGCAGCAGCTGCGGCAGCAGCAGCAGCTGCGGCAGGAGCAGCAGCTGGAGGAGCAGCAGCTGGAGGAGCAGCAGCTGCAGGAGCAGCAGCTGCAGGAGCAGCAGCAGCTGCGGCAGAGAGGCGAAGACAACCGCAGCACTCGGCGACAGGACCCGGTGAGTGTGAGTGTGTCGGGGGGGTGGGGGTCACTATATTTAATGCTGTATTTCAGCTTTTAATATACTCAACACATTCCCAACAATTCACATTCCTCTGTCAATCCACTACTGGATGAAGTCATTCGCATGCCACTTCGTTAATGGTTGTTAGATCGGTCACCAACCATGCTGCTTAGTTGGAGCCGAGGGCGACTTCGGATATCAATCTCCACTAATATTATCCACGGCTTTGAATCTTACTGAGGTCATCGAGTGCAGTGAGAGTGCAGTGAGATAAACACTGCCCCATCGTTTTACCAACACAGTGACAAAGAAAACAATGCTGCCCTTACTTAGTGTTTCGCCTACCCAAACAAATGTCATCACTGCCCCCCCATCTCCCGCCGCAAAGCACAGCTGCTTTTTGGTGCCAAGAACCAGCATGTGGATGGTCATTACTTGCTGGGTAAGGCAGGGGGAGTCCTATTCATTACACCCATAGTTTATTCAGAAGAAAACAAGACAACCAGGGTAGTGACCATTACCCATTTCAGCCTCTTGCAACCTCGACTATGCTCCAGAACATGTTCGATTAGCCACTCGGCATTGCCACTACCCATAGGGTTTGTAAAAAAATGGCTTTTAGAGTGAGTACTGGAGTAGGTTTTTTGTTGACAACCAACTTCAGTTTCTGCTCTTGAGTTTTAAAACTGAACTTTCTGACCAGTCTCACAAAAAATGACCTCCATTATTTATTTTCGCTCTTTCAAAGATAGTGCTTCCTTATATATTCGTTTTATGGAATTATCAGTTGGGCGCTAACATATGAAACAAATGTAATAAAAAAAACTCCGTCAGGCACTGCTGGTCTCCGTTTGTCTTTTATTCAAGTTCTTTCTCCCCACCCCGCTGACTCCTCCCCTTCCTGATCGTCAGATCCGGCCTTCCCATACTGCCCTGCTGGCTCCACCCCCATTCACCTCGCTTCCCATTGGAGCCGAGGTGAACGGCGGCCCCTTCCACACGCCCCCCAATACCCCGTTCCGTGTGATTGGGCCAGAGCCCAGCAGCGACCCCATTTACGCTCGCACTACACAAATACTGAATAACAATTTGCAGCCATTTGTCAATCCACTGCTGGATATAGGTGTTGCACACTCGAAATGAAGGACGTGGGCAGGTGCTCCAAATCGAGGGCAAGCACATTTATTTATTGTAGTTAATATTAATCTTGTGAAGAACCTCACCATCACTCTGTAAAATGCAACAACGCGCGTTACACGCAGCAATTCTTCCGAGACGCCATTAACCATGTGGCTGGTTTACACGTGCGGTTATTCATTAACCCTTTCTCTTAAACCCAATTCTACTACTTATAAACCATCCTTGTCTTTGACAATCACATTTGCACATCACTATTCGACTATTACTTTAATCCTAAGCTGTATGTCTATCTATACCGTCCACTTATATCGGTATCTTACACTCATTATATGTACTGTATGTGTACAGTATACGTACTGTATCTCACCATTGTACAGCTTACTACTTTACATGTGTTCTATTCTCAATAGCATTGCAAGTAGTCATACTCTGGGTACATGGGCATGGTTATAGACTAAACAGTATTAGAGTTAGATAATTACAATGACAGTAACTAATTACAGTGCGTCATCTCTTTACAATGCACAGTGCTAAAACGCCTCTAATTGCATATATCACAAACGAACAATTCAAAGCCAAGCTTAAAGTCTAGAACAAGTCTAGAACAAGTCTAGAACATTTATATAACGATCAAAAACAACCTTTGGGTCCTTTACCTGTAAAATGCAACAACGCGCGTTACACGCAGCAATTCTTCCGAGACGCCATTCACCACGTGGCTGGTTTACCCGTGCGGTTATTCATTAACCCGGCCAGCCACCTACAGGCCCAACTCAGTCATCACATGCTGCTGTACACACGTGCATTGATGCACTGCACAGCACATCAGGACCTTCACAGAACCACACTTTACTCCCTTGCTGCACAAGGGTATACTTAAAAGAGTGATCCATTCCTAATGTGCCACATAGGCCTCCCCACACCGTGCTGGTCAGTGTGGGTTGCTAGAGAGGAGGAGCTGAGAGACTGATTCAGATATCATGAACCATTAATGTTACCCGTGACCTTGAACCCAGCTCAGGACTCAGGGTTCACAGCACTGCACCACCTATATTTACATCTCGTCTATATGACGGTGCTTTGCGCAAACTTTACTTATTCATCATCACTTTTCTTAATGGTTACCATGTATTGGTAGTTATAAAGAGGTACCGCCCAATAATGTTACATCTCCTTAAAAAGCACACTTTCGTGTGTTTTGGATTACGAGAAATATAGTTGATAATTATTAATGGAGTGGATTATTAACTTTGCTTTTGTGCCCTGGTCACAAAAGCAAAGTATGTAGGGAATAATAGCCATCTTCTGTACTTTTGAGGCATTAACAACACAGCCACCTCCGCACCCTCATCTTGGAGGCCCCTCTCCGATCTTACATTAACATGCTAATTTCTCACATTAACATCCCTAACACAGCCTCTCTCATCGCTTATGAAGGGGAAATGACTTGGTTGACCTGTGCTATCATTGTGTGTGTGTGTGTGATTAGCCAGGTCGCTTCTGAAGAAGAAGCTACAAAGTAGCTCAATGGACCTTGCACCTGGCAAAATAATAACATAGTTTAGTTTTAGCATGGGTCTCTGTATCTATGGCTCTTTGTATCTATATGGGTTTCTATGTATCTCGATGGGTCTCGGTGGGTCTCTGTCTCTCTATGTCTTTATATGAGTCTCTGTGTCACTATATGGGTCTTCTTCTTGGTTCTTTCGGTAAAGTCACGTAGAAGGGAAGTAATAAAATAATAATAAATACATCGAAAAATATATGGGTCTTTATGTATCTATATTGTGTATCATATGGGTCTCTATCTAGGTCAATGTATATATTTTAGGACAAACGAAATTAGGAAAGCGTCCACCAATGTTTATTTGCCTGGGTGAGTTTCTTAACACTCTGCTGTTGTTGATACAAATACGGCTATGGTCTACATTATAGACTGCCAATACACTCACTCCGATTTAGAATCAGGCTACAGCCTACATTATAGACTGCCAGTATACTTACTCCGATTTAGTAGCAGGCTACAGTCTGCATTATAGACTGTCTGTTACGAGAAATATCGTTGATTATTATTAATGGAGTGGATGATTAACTTTGCTTTTGTGCCCTGGTCACAAAAGCAAAGTTTGTGGGGAATAATAGCCACTTTCTGTACTTTTGATGCATAAGCAATTAGAAAATAACACTTTACTACCCGGGGACAAAAATATGTATGTTTTGTTACACAGTGCACGCAGACCGGGGGAGAGTTGCAGCCCGCAGCAGCTACAGAGAGGCGGAGGCAACCGCAGCACTCGGCTACAGCACTCGGTGAGTGTGTGTGGTGGGGGGTCACGGTGTGTGTGTGGGGGGGTCACGATGTGTGTGGGGTGGTCACGGTCTGTGCTGCTGGTGGTTGCTCGTGGTGCTTTCGGCGTGGGGAGCGGTGGGGCAATGGTCAGCACACTGGGCGACACACCCCGGCGACCGGGTGACCTGGGTTCCTGCCTGCTCACAGCCCACTCCGTTGATGGATATGTAATGCGAGCGTAAACGGGGTTTGCTGCTGGGCTCTGGCCCAATCACACGGCCCGGGGTATTGGGGGGCGTGTGGGAGGGCCGCCGTTCACCTCGGCTCCAATGGGAAGCGAGGTGAATGGGGGTGGAGCCAGCAGGGCAGTATGGGAAGGTAAAAGTTAAACGGTAAAAAGCAACGAGCCTACCTTTTACCCTTACCCCATACAAATTACCCCATTACAGGATAATTACTGGGGTACTACTACTGTTGTCATTCTTTAAGCTATTATTTGTGACCAGGTGGCATCTGAAAATGAGCAACATAGTTCAGTGGGCCTTGCATAATAGAGGTTTGTTTGGGTTAGATTGCTTAAATATGTGTCGGTAAACCCGCCACCACCCAACACAGCCAATTAGTAAAGTTATCACGTAAACAGAACGTGCTGATTAGTCACTAGTACAGCATTAGTGTATAGTGTAGTGTAGAGTAGTGTAGTGTATAGTGTAGTGCACTAGTACAGCACACCGGTTGTGTTGTAGAGAAAATCCACAACATTTACATTCTGAGTACCATGACGTTTTGCCAGCAATTACAATCAGGTTCATCGGGCAACAGCAGGTTTGTAGAGAAATCCTCCAGTTTCGTTCCTTAAATATAAGGGTTGATGTGATGGCGTCACTTGTGAACCCTTCTTGAGCAAAGTGAGGGGGGGGGGATTAAAGAACGAAGGATGAGGATTTCTCCACAAATCTGGATGTCGCCTGATGAAGATAGTTGTAATTACTTGTGAAAAGTCGTACTCAGATTGTGAATGTTGTGGATTTACTCTGAAACACATCGGTTAGTGCTCTACTAGTAACGAATTGGCACATTCTGTTTACGTCGTAAACTTTTCTAATTGGCTGTTTTGGGTGGTGGCAGGATTAACCACACATTACACTACACTACTATACACTACTATATACTGATATACACTACACTACTATACTATACAGTATACACGATACTACTATGCACTACACTACAATACACTACACTACATTATACTACACTACTATACACTACGCTACTATACACTACACTACTATACACTACAATACACTACACTACTATACACTACACTACTATACACTACATTACACTAAAATACTATACACTACACTGCTATACACTACACTATACACTACACTATACACTACTATACACTACACTACTATACACTACACTACTATACACTACACTACTGTACACGACACTACTATACACTACACTACTATACACTACACTACTATACACTACACTACTATACACCTGTTGTGGGTATACACGTGGAACGGGACTTCGATTTTGGAGGCAACACCTTTATTACAATAAACTATAACAATGGCAATAGCCGTAACACTTACGGTTATGGCCCCTGTAACACTACGGGGTACGGCCCCGTCACCCTTTAACCGAAGGGAGGTACAACCTCCCTTCTCGCGTGCCTATCTTGGCTCCTCCCACCCTCAACCAGTATATATACAAGGACTGTTTTCTTGGAATTTATCTCACTTGATACAGCAATCGTGCTGTGACGGTTCCACCTGAAGACGTAAGCTTGTGTTGCCTCCGAAACGTCGTGATTTTTATTTTATTTTTATTCTACAGTTATTAATTTTAATTTATTACCTACGTGACTTTACCGAAAAAACCTAAGAATATGTGCACTACACACTCCAGGCTACGCTCTCACGGGTCCTCCGCTATGAGAGCTAGGGGAGGCTAGACTGACCCGACCTAGCCAGGGTACGGGTCCCACCACTGGACCGCTGCTACCCGGCTCTCACAAGAGCCTCGGTTGTTGGTCCCATGGTGCTGGTCTAGTCTTGAGCAGAGGTCGCAAACGGGTTTTGATTCCTTACCCGTACCCGGCCGCACCAGGGTCGCAAACGGGTACCCGTACCTATACCCTACCCGTACCCGGCCGGGTACGGGTATCGGGTACCTGATTGCGACCTCTGGGATGAAGACACGTTGCAGGTGCGGGTGGGTTGATTCTAGGAACTTGAATTGTGAGACGAGACAAGACATTGGGAAATGAGTGACAAACAGTTACTCACCAGTGACTCACGGTCTACCCGTACCCGGCTGCACCAGGGTCGCAAACAGGTACCCTTACCCGGCCGGGTACGGGTAGCCGGGTATCGGGTAGGGTACGGGTATCGGGTACCCGGTTGCGACCTCTGGTCTTGAGGGGATGAACACTGCCGGTCCCGTTGAGAGGACTGACTTTTATACACCACACCTTTCCCAGAACCTTCCAGAAGTTTCTGGAAGGGTCGGAAATGAACCGTTGGCCCCTAGCCCCCAGCCCCCACCCCATGGGGTTCTGGGTTCTCTACCGGGGGGAGGGGGGGTTACCCCAGGTCTACCACCACCAGAGGTTGCAACCGGGTACCCGATACCCGTACCCTACCCGATACCCAGCTACCCGTACCCAGCCGGGTACGGGTAGCCGTTTGCGACCCTGGTGCGGCCGGGTACGGGTAAGGAATCAAAACCCGTTTGCGACCTCTGACCACCACATATCCCGCTCACTCTCTCGGCCGCCCCCTATCGGGCCATGAGGGTGGTGACCATTTGAAGACCCACAGAGCCTTGGTAAGGCGCAACACACCCATAATAGAGGTTTTTGGGTTAGATCGCGTAAATATATAAATGTGTCGTTAAAACCCGCCACCATCCGACACAGCCAACTAGTAAGGGTTGTCACGTAAACAGAACATGCCAATTCTATACACTGCACTACTATATACTAGTATATACTACTATACACTACACTACTATACACTACTGGACACCCACCTGCGGAGTGGAAGAATGGCAGGCACATCTTACAGATGACAAGCTGATGGTCGGTGGAAAAATCAGCTCCATGGTAGGTCCTGGTGTCAGGGGCATAGCCCCACATCCACTTTTCTATCGCTATATAGTGTAGCAGATGTTCTTTCTTGAACTCAGCATGGATACATTGTTTTCTGTGGATGTGCCGATGCTGGAATAGTGTATTGTTAATTACAAGCCCATGGGATACACAGAAGTTTAGCAGCCTCATACCATTATTATTGAGCTGATCTTGTCCATGCCTTCCAATTGCTCCAGCCCAGCTTCCAGCATCATGGCACACTCGGTCATTAAATCATCCAACAGGATGACTCTATCCCGAGGGGCCACTTTTGCTCGCATCTGTGATAGGAGGTCATGAAAGGCATGACTCATCGGCCTTGCCTGCATCCCTCCACTGATATTCATCTTCGGGGGGGCATAACAAATCACCACCAATACTTTCTGGTCTCTTGTTGATGGAAAGGAGAGCCCAAATTTGCCTGGGACTTACATCTTTCCAAACCTCGCCGCTACATTCATTCAGTCACTCCTTGTTGTTTGGCAGTCTCCTGCCCCGAGGAGGGGACTGTCTACCTCTTATGTTGACTGGAGCCAAAGCCGATCCATCGGACCTCCTGAATATCTCGCCATGGCCAGTCATGGTGGTTTATCGTTGTTTGTGGAGGAACCCCGAGGGTATGGTTTCAGTTCCTGGCTCTGCCAAATGGGGGTTGGCCAGGAGAAGTCGTAGTTACCTGTCCTCACAGATCCTCTGGCTCAAGCTTAGTTCAATAATTTGCACGTAGTTTAGTGGTCGTTGAATTGAAGGTGGAGGGGATACCAGCCTCTCGCACCCATCCAGAGCACCCATTTGGCCTCTGTGATGGCTACAAGTGCCATGACGGGTATAGCCGATAGGAATTGGCCTTCCCTCCATGGCATTGCTCACATCCACATAGTGTTAGCATTCAACACCACCACGGAGGTAAGGGATTACTTTTTCCAGAATTTTCCACAATATATACATACACACAGAGATAAGAGAGACAGAGCAGCACACCAGTATTTACCACCGCGTGGTGTCTCCTCCACGACTCACCAGAGGTTCGAGACATGGATGAGTCGGAGGCTGCCAAGCTCATCAAAGTGCAGAGGCCGGAACTGAAGAAGTGGATTGGCAGGGACCCCACGTACCTGCTCGACTACTTGGAGAGCAGGGGTTTGATCCTTCGCGACAAATACCACGAGGCCAAAGACATCAACGTGAAAGTGGAGCGCGCCGACTTTTTGATCAACGAGTTCATCGGCAGGGATGAGTGCCTCAAGCTCTGGAGGGCTCTCGAAGGCCTACAGGACCACTACCCCCAGCTGAAGGAGTGGATCTCAGCCTGTGCGTCAACCACACATCACGCTTGTGGTAAAGCAATGCAAAACGATACACAGCTGCTGCTTTGATATAAACAAATACTACTGATGTTACGGCTTTGTTGTGTTTGAAACTCATTGGCCTACACCAGATACAGCCTTGTTCAGGGCCTTGTCTCTGCACCCATGTTAGACTAGAGAACAAGTACAATGACAATGCAAGCAAACACTGCTTTGACAATAATAATCGTAATAATAACACGCATTGTAGTGTTTGGAACTCATTGGCCTCTACACCAGAGATGGCAGACAGCGCTGCCACAGTCGTGGAACCAAAACTCGGGTACCCTCCTTGCTAAGAGGCACATGTGCGCGAAACATCGCGCTGGTGAGTGAACAAAACAAATCCTGTCACATCGAAAAGCCGAGTTGTTTCGCGTGGTTTGTTTGTTTTGAAGCTTGAGAAATACAAAAATAACGGATGAAAGTTTAAGATTAGGTGTGATTTATAGACACAACCATGTCTGGCAATAATAAAAACCAGAGGTGGTGTTAAGATATAATGCAGACTTTTGATTCCTTTTTAAAGGTATCCTAAAGTACTACATTAACTCACAAACATATCATACTTGCGGAAAAACATGCAAACACGTTCCGATAATAATGTATGGCATTGTCTTTCAAAGTGATTCGCCTACAACACGAAAGACAGTCTTCTGTATGGCCTTGTCTCTGCACCCCTAGCAGTGTGTTAGTAGACCAGAGAATGTCAATAGGCGAACAGTACAAAGACAATCCCAGTGGTACAATGTTAACTACCTCGCCTGGTATGCAGGACGTCGTGGGTACAATGCCAACCCTGCCGCCTGCTGTATATTGGGAGTTTGTGTCTCTCTGTCTCTCCCCGTGGTGGTCACTGCGTAGATTTCTCTCCAAGTCCTCCAGTTTTCATTCCTCCACATTTCATGTCGCGTTAAAGAGTATTTGGCTGCTATACATTTCCACGTGATAAGCCCACTTCGTTGAGCCACTATCATTCGTGATGGCCAGGTCATTGCTCAAAAAGAGCTACATAGCTCAGTGGGGTCTTACCTGGTAAAAAACAAAGGAGTTTAGTTAGATTTTGAATAAAAAATTAAATATGACAAACATCCTCAGTGGAGTGAATGGGCAAAATCAGGGCTGCATATATTTTGCTTGTATTTATTTGATTTTTTTTCTTTTCTCTCGTTCAACCTCCAGACGGGAAGCCTGGTCACTCTAATCAGCCCGACTCGATTGCATTGGATCAAGATGAACAGCAAATCACGCAGATTGATTCCAAACAAAATACTCGGGTCCCTGTAACTACTGGTGAGTTTATTTTGTTCTATGGGTCTCTTTGTATCTATATGGATTTCTGTGTATCTATATGGGTCTATATGTATCTAATATATGGGTCTATATGTATATATATATGGGTCTCTGTGTATCTATATGGGTCTCTGTATATCTATATGGGTAAATATGTATCTATTATATGGGTCTATATGTATATATATGGGTCTATATGTATCTATTATATGGGTCTATATGTATCTATTATAATGGGTCTATATGTATATATATGGGTTTCTGTGTATCTATATGGGTCTCTGTGTATGAATATGGGTCTCTGTGCATATATATGGGTCTGTGTCTCGATGTATCTCTATGGATTTAGAGTATTTGGCTGCTGCACTCTTTGTTCTTTCGGTAAAGTCACGTAGGTAAAAAATTAAATTAAAATTAATAAAAATAAAACAATAAAATCACGACGTTTCGGAGGCAACACAAGGCTCCGTCATCAGGTGGGACCGTCACAGCCAGCAGCTAATCTGGCTGTGACGGTCCCACCTGATGACGGAGACTTGTGTTGCCTCTGAAACGTCGTGATTTTATTGTTTTATTTTTATTAATTTAATTTTTTACCTACGTGACTTTACCGAAAGAACTAAGAATATGAATCCTTGCAGTCACGAAAGCTTCAAAACTAGAAATATTTGGCTGCTGCTCTAAATGTCCACATGATGATAACAACCACTTCGTTGAGCTGCTAAAATGTGGAAAGTCGTTTCTGAAAAATATGCTGTAAGAAAGCTCAGCAATGGGGTCTTATACTTGGTACAAGTAAAAACTTGTAGCAGCAGTAGATGCTACGTCATGAACTCGGGCGCGTGGTTTAATCCACAAGCCAGATAAATCGCACGCTCGGATTATAATCGAGAGTCTTGGTAGCGAGACACTGGGTAGTGAGACACAGGGTAGCGAGACACTGGTTAGTGAGACAATAGGTAGCGAGACACTGGGTAGTGAGACACTGGGTAGCGAGACACTGGGTAGCGAGACACTGGGTAGCGAGACACTGGGTAGTGAGACACTGGGTAGTGAGACACTGGGTAGTGAGAAACTGCTAGTGAGACACTGGGTTGTGAGACACTGGGTAGTGAAACACTGGTTAGTGAGACACTGGGTAGTGAGAAACTGCTAGTGAGACACTGGGTTGTGAGACACTGGGTAGTGAGACACGGGTTAGTGAGACACTGGGTAGTGAGAAACTGCTAGTGAGACACTGGGTGGTGAGACACTGGGTAGCGAGACACTGGATATTGAGACATTTAGTAGCGAGACACTGAGTAGTGAGATACAGGGTAGTGAGATACAGGGTAGTGAGACACTGGTGGTGAGACTCGATCATAAAAAAAGGCTGCTGTCTCTGGTATTGACCAATCAGTTTCAAAGACAATGCCATCCAACATTATTGTTGTTATTATTATTATTATAAGAGCCATGTTGTTTGCATGTTCACCACAAGCACCGTGTGTGTGGTTAATGCCACTAGTAACTTGATTCCTTACAAAAGAAGAAATGTCGTCTATTTTGTGTTTGAACATCTTAACACAACTCCTGTTGTATTGCAAAGATGATTACAAAAAAAACCCATATTTTTATTTGACAAAGCTTTATAGCTCATCGGATATTTTTTTGTTTGTTACCACCATCACCATCAGCCCACCCACCACCAACCACCAACCCACCTCCCACCAACCCACCAGCCACCACCACCACCACCAACCACGAACCAACCCACCCACCACTGCCGCCGCCAAATGATGAGCCGCCGCAGGTCCACGAGATGCCGCGGTCCAACGACGTCGTCTCGGACTACCTGCACATGGATTCCTCCATCAGCGAGGCGAGCGAGAACCACGGGCGGAACGTAGAGGCCAAAGAGAACCACAGTCGTGAACGAGAGAAACTACGCGATTCTGAACCTCCTAAAAAACCAACCCCTCGTCCACGTCGTGGGAGGTGGTAACAGGTGAAGTACAGGATTTGCCGGACAGGGCGAAGTATGGTGGGTGGTTCGACCACCTGGGCCGTTTCGGTAACCATGAAGGCCTGTCTGGACGCAACCTGGAAATTCGCTGGCTAACGGGGCACTGGTTAGCCACTTAGGCTAAGGGAGTAAACCCTGATAAAATCCCGGGCGGATACCAAGTGTATCCACTCCACCTCGGTGGGGCGGATGAGCCACGTTCCAGATGGCCAATGGCATATGGCGGAGAAGCCACTGAATATCTGGAGCTTCAGGAAAAGCCGTCCAATTGTCTTGCTTTTCTGCCTTGCCATTGGACCGTGGCTTGGTTCCTGGTTAAGCCCGTGCAGTAGGCTGGTGTGCAACAGACACTGCATGTAAATTAATTCACGCACTGGCACCCTCCAGGGAAACTGTGCTATCGCACCACCACACTACACACCCAAAGTCTTTGGGCAATTGGCAAGTGGCGAGTGGGGGAGGCCTATGCAGCTAGAAGCTCCTAGTAAAAAACCAACACCAAGGCGATAGCTATTAGAAGGTTATAGTAGTAGGTTTTTACCCTTTAAACTGGTACAAAAACTGACACCTTTATACAAGGCATCATGTTTGCAATAACCACAACACAAGCAGTCAAAATGCAAACAAAAATAAACAACTCTGATAATGATAATGATATGCACTGTCCTTGGAGTTGATTTGTCCACACCCGAGACAGCTTTCTTAAAGCCTAGTCTCCATTGGTGTTGGACCAGATGACGCCAAAAGGTGTACAACTCAAAAACAGCGCACTATCAGAGTATTGAGAGCCTGGGGTATTTTGCCACTGGTAAAGGAGGTCTCATAGTGCATTAGAAGGTTGTCGTGCACTCAGATTAGGCAGGAGTGCATCCCAGCAGCTGTAGCTGTGACTGAGCAGCCACATAGATCCAATCTGCCTAGCAACATCCTGTCTGGCTTACCGTGACCAGAGGGAGCATCAAAAATTGCGGTCGAAACAAAAATAAATATAACCTAAATATTGGTTCCTGGAATGTCAGGACCCTCACAGACAACTCAAACTCGCAACATCCAAAGCGCTAAACAGCTCTTGTGGCGAGCGAGCTGAGACAATTGAATATCCATATTGCCGCCCTCAGCGAAACTCGTCTGGCATATGAAGGCCAACTGACTGAGCAACGTGGAGGCTACACCTTCTTTTGGAAGGGTAAACCAGCACATGAACGACGCCTGCATGGTGTAGGGTTTGCAATAGACAACGTGTTCATCGACAGCTCAAGTGAACTTCCAATTGGTATCAAGGAGCGTTTTATGACCCTACGTCCTGAAACTCGCAAAAGACCAACATGTAACCATCATCAGCACCTATGCACCAACACTGGACTCTGAAGAAGACACCAAGGAGACCTACTACTATCAGCGAAACGTCGTACTACTCAAACTTTAAAATGCTGTTGATTCTCTCTTCAACACACCGGTGGGCTAAAGAAGTGAATTATTTTGTCCTTTGAAAAACGTGACACATTTTTTACTGTTTGGCCGTGTCGGGTGGTGGAGGGTTACGACACATTTATACATAACGCGATCTGACCCAAAAACCTATATTATAATTCGATCAGTGATGAATCTCAAACTAAACCACAAACACATCAACCGACCAAAACTACAGAGGAAAAGACCCAGCAGTACAGGCCCGACTGAAATAACAACTAGCTCAAAGACTCTGCACCAAACAGGCTTCAGGAAAATATTCATAAGTACTGGACATAACTGAAGACGGCAGTTAGAACCAGCTGTGAAAACACCATTAGCTACATAAGAAGGAAAAAATATGACTGGTTTGATGACAACGACCAGGAAATCACAGGCCTCATTGACAGGAAGCAGAAAGCATTAATCGCCTGGGAACAACACAAACAGTCTAGACAGAAAAAAACAATCATATAAGGAGGCCAAATGGGAAGTACAAACTAAAATCCGGGAACTCAAGAACTGGTTCAGAAACAAAGCAGAAGAAATACAACATCTTGCAGATTCTAGTAACCCACATACATTTTTTCAAGCAACCAAAGTCGTACATGGACCATCAAAACAGGGCCTTGCACCACTCCAGTCTAAAGGTGGGACAGAAATCTTCAAAGACAAAAGTGCAATCATCTCCCGCTGGCAGGAACACTTCAGCACTCTTTTCAACTGCAATGCTGTTGTAGACGCTTCTATATTCAATGGGATTCCGCAACACTCTACCACTGAGGATTTAGTTGGAGAACCAACGTTGCTTGAAGTGGCTTAAGCTATCAAGCAAATGAAAGAGAACAAAGCTCGTGGGCTAGACCAGATTCCTGCTGAGATTTACAAACATGGAGGACAACGCCAACTAGAACACCTGCACTCCCTCATGGCCAGGATCCGGAATGATAAAGACCTTCCCAACGAATTGAAAGATGCCATCATCGTCACTGTCTTCTAAAAATGTGACAAGTCAGACTGTGACAACTACAGAGAAAGCACTAGTGTATAGTGTAGTGTATAGCGCAGTGTATAGTGCAATGGATAGTGTAGTGTATAGTGTAGTGTATATGGCGCAGTGTATAGTGCAATGGATAGTGTAGTGTAGTGTATAGCGTAGTGTATAGTGCAATGGATAGTGTAGTGTATAGTGTAGTGCATAGCGCAGTGAATAGTGAAATGGATAGTGTAGTGTATAGTGTAGTGTATAGCGTAGTGTATAGTGCAATGGATAGTGTAGTGTATAGTGTAGTGTATAGCGCAGTGTATAGTGCAATGGATAATGTAGTGTATAGTGTAGTGTATAGTGTAGTGTATAGTGTAATGTATATTGTAGTGTATAGTGCAATGGATAGTGTAGTGTATAGTGTAGTGTATAGCGCAGTGTATAGTGCAATGGATAGTGTAGTGTATAGTAGTGTAGTATACAGTGTAGTCAGGGACGTGCGGTGAGGCGAGGCAGGGAAGGCACAGCCTCGCCTGTTATACTCCAATGAAAATAGCTGTTACGAGAAGTTAAAAATAATACAATAAAAATTTAGATTCTTCCACTGATCTGTGTTATGTCATTTCCGTATGATTCCAAAAATTTTGATATTCAAAATCGCCAAATTTGCGGAGCTCCGCTGCAAATACAGAGAGCCTCCCCTCTGATTTTGCAACCCCTCAGAAACTGGATGAAGCGCGGGCAATAAGCGCGTGCCTGTTACTGTCTCTCTGTCATTATTGGAATCATACAGAAATGACATTTATAACACAGATCAGTGGAAATTAGTTTTTTTCGTAACAGCTATTTTCATTGGAGTATATGACAGGTGTGCCTCCCCTGACCGTACGTCCCTGAGTGTAGTTTATAGTAATGTAGTGTATAGTGCAGTGTATAGTGTAGTATACTAGTGTTGAGGTGCAATTCACGACTCCGAGGCAGGTTGCTGTTAGGGGCTCACGCCATGTTTATTTAAGGGCTTACGCCGGACCAACACCCCCCTAGCCAATAACTCCCCAGGGGACAGGGTACTGTGATCCCTACACCCCGGCTAACTCGGCTCTCCACCTTGCCCCGGCCCGGGACCACCCCCAACCTCGGCCGGTTGGGCGGAGTAGCCTCCCCTAGCCTCGTGTGAGGACCAACTACCCGAGTCCCCACTCCTACCCCCGACGAACCCCGCTTCCATCCCGGGTCCCCCTTTAAATACCCCCGTGGGGCATGACGTCACCATCCTCCACGGCCCGCCTGACGTCACGTCCCGCAACGCCACTCTCTCTGAGGGCGCGCGTGACGTGACGTCACCCACTACACCTCTACATCACCCCCCCGCCGTGAAAAAAACACAGCCAACCCGGCTGCAATCACCCTGAGAGCGGGGACACACGTGCGCCCACTCGAACCCCACAACCTTAGGGCAGCACGTCACATGATAAAGTAAGAACAGGGCACCCCCCCGGACCATGGAAAGAGGCCCCGTGGGTCGGGGATGTAGAAGCCGGCCCGCCCCCGGCCGTCAGTGGATACGCATGCCTCTTAAGCGCGTGTGTTCAAAGTTCATTTATTTGGTATAGCCCTGTGAGCCATTCGGCTCTTGAATCGGGTGCAACCGCAACAAACAAAAAACAAAAACATGAACAAGAAAACATCTTAAAGTGACTATGTGCAAACAGAAAATCCAAGAAAAGACAGCAAAATATTGCAGAAAAATCACCGTACACCAACCCTGTGCAAATATCCCAGTGGGATGCAAGTAAAACAACAACAACAACCACAAGACAACTTAGATTAAGGCCATCAGTCAAACTCTGTACTACAACAAACAAACATGGCCAAACCAAAAAACTTTTCGAAAATCACCAAAATAAAGACATAAAAGCAATGAAACAGTGCAGGTCATAGGAACTGTGACCGAATTTTCACAATAAACGACGTAAACAACACGTACTACCAAACTCTGCAGCCATAGCTGGCTGCATGAGTCACTCCACAACAGCAGCAGCATCAGTCGGAGTGTGAGCCGCCGGCCTGCCACCCCGCACGGCCCCGGCCGTTGGAACCGGCGGCGCGCCGGCAGGAAGCGGCTGCGCCGCTGGCACATCCACCAGTGTAGGCACCCCTGGCGGCGCTTCGGTGGGGGCACTGGCGACGCACCGCGGGCAGGCCGCTACTCCACGCGGCCTCGGCCGTTGGAATAGGTGGACCGCCTGCCATTGGACCGTGGCTTGGTTCCTGGTTAAGCCCGTGCAGTAGGCTGGTGTGCAACAGACCCAGGTCTGTTGCAGGCCCCCCCCACCCCGCATTGCCCACCTGACGTCACGTCCCGCGACGCCACTCTCTCCGAGGGCACGCGTGACGTGATGTCACCCACTCCACCTCTACACCAGAGGTCGCAATCGGGTACCCGATACCCGTACCCTACCCTGATGGACGTGAAGCGTCGTCAGTGGTTGCCTTCAACTGCCAACGCTGCTCTTTCGGAGTGGTTTCTCCTCCCTCCTGCCTTTTCCAAAAAAATAATTAAGAGTGATATCGCCTATTTTTTACGTAATAGTTCTTTTTTTCTATCTGGATTTAGCGCGTTCTAAAAAACACACCGCCATAATGGAGGCCTGTGAACTCCCTTGAGACAACAAAGGCTAAAACAGCACCCCCTGCTGCATCGCCCTCTGGAGGTTGATAACACTGGTCAACAAAAAAAATATTTTTTTCTGGCCTGGACTTTTGCAGCTGTTTTAGACTAATTTCAGGGTGCCGATTCCAAATCTGATCTCAGATTTGCTTTATCACATCTCATTTTTAGGTATAGGCATACTCCATCTTCATTGATTTTACCCGAAATTAACGCCGTCACTTATGATTGCAAGTTGTTGCGAGTCAGTGACTGCTTTAGTGTTAAAATATGGTGCTGTATTTTTAGGATAGTGTGTTTATAATATCATTTTATGTAGATATCCACATTAGTTTAATATTTTTCTTCTGCAGTTTTAATTGAAAATGCAATATTTGATATCTAAAAAACCTGATGTGATAGACAAAAACTAATGCCAGATTTGGAATCAGCACCCCAAAATTACATTAAAACCGTTGGAATACCTTATGCCAGAAAAAGTGTGTTGACCAGTATTATCCACAAGCCTTGGCTTGGGAAGTTGTAAGGTTGGATTGACCACCACCAAATAGGAATATTTTCAAACATCATGGTATTAACGTTAACTTGATGATATGTATATGATGATGTACCTCAGATCAAAAGGTTTAATATGACTATTTTGTATATTTTTAATTAACAATATCTATTACACCATACGGTCTGGGATAAGTCGGTAAAAATTAATGAGTGACCTAGGGAATTTCTGAGATAGTAGCTGTTTTACTTTTAATCGCATAATCTTGCAAATCTGATCGTTGATGCCTTCTAAACATTTGATAAGGATAATTTTTGAACACGTATGCTGACATTGATACTGTTGTTGTGGGTTAGCCTGTACGTATTGTTTGATCACGTGATCGGGAGATCCGATTGTTGATGCTTATAACCATTTGATACGCATATTTTCGGACATGCATTCCGTACGCATATTGCTATTTTAGGGTCTGCCTATTGTTTTTATCACGTGATCGTGAATATTAGCCAATACTTGTTTTTTTGTCATTTAATACGGATTGATGAGTAGGTATATTTGCATGTATACTATCGTTGCTATTAATTACTGTTGATAAGAGTTCTGCATATTAGAGTAAGTTGATATTAAAGTTGCTTAGAATTAAAAACAGGTTTCCGAGTGATTCTTTGCTAAACTCGTGCATCATTGTCGTTATGAAGAACTGTCTCCTGCGGCAAGATCTGAATCCCAAGACCTGACGTAATTACACACGTCATTGTTAAGGCGAGAATCATCAACGTTAAAGCGAGAATTAGAATTGTTAAAGCGAGAATCATGAATGTTAAAGTGAGAATCATTGAGAATTAGAATTGTTAAGGCGAGAATCATAAACGTTAAAGCGAGAATTAGAATTTTTAAAGCGAGAATCATGAATGTTAAAGTGAGAATCATTGAGAATTAGAATTGTTCAAGCGAGAATCATGAATGTTCAAGTGAGAATCATTGATGTATCACGATTGGTGATACATACCCCTAGACAACGAGAGGCAATAATGAATACACACATAATCACATGCACGCAATCAGATACACACATTAATAATTCATTACACTTAACAGACATTTTGAGTTAATTACACCAAATTACATACGTTAACATATTTTAAATAATTGTACATTTTTATTATTTTATTATTTCATCACATTTTCATTTTTGCTATATATTCAACATAACCCACAACCTCCTGTTTGCCAGGCGAACGAGTTAACATTTCCTAGCCACCGTAGCGCGTTGATCTTGACTCGTCTTGACTCATACGAACCAGCGCTGAGTATTATCTTTTGTCAACGTGACACTTTTTTACTGATTGGCCGTGTCGGGTGGTGGAGGGTTACGACACATTGATAAATAACGCGATCTAAACCCAAAAACGTTGATTATGAATCATACGACCTTAACATTGGACTTCAAAAATAAATACATCTCAAAATGATATAACCAAGAAAATACGGTGCTCCTTCACACTTTATAAATAAGTGGTGCACCACTCGCTTAGTGAGTGAGTGTATGGGTGAGTGGGTGAATGAGTGAGTGGGTGATTGGATAAATGAGTGAGTGGGTGGGTGAGTGAGTGGGTGAATGAGTGAGTGGGTTATTGGATAAATGAGTAGGTGATTGAGTGGGTGAGTGGGTGGGTGGGTGGGTGGATGGGTGGGTGGGTGAGTGGGTGAGTGTGTGGGTGGGTGAGTGGGTGGGTGAGTGGGTGAGTGGGTGAGTTGGTGGGTGAGTGGGTGGGTGAGTGGGTGGGTGGGTGGGTGAGTGGGTGGTTGTGTGAGTGGGTGGGTGAGTGGGTGAGTTGGTGGGTGGGTGAGTGGGTGGGTTGGTGAGTGGGTGGGTGGGTGAGTGGGTGAGTGGGTGGGTGAGTGGGTGGGTGGGTGAGTGGGTGGGTGGGTGAGTAGGTGGGTGAGTGGGTGAGTGAGGGGGAGGGTAGGTGAATGAGTGGGTGAGTGGGTGGATGAATGAGTAATACGGCCCTGCTTTCATTCACCCGCCCGCCTCACGTAGCCTGCAATCACAAATCCCAAGACGGTGCCCCCTGCCGAGTAGAACCTGGAGCTGCACAGAGGGAGGGAGAGACGCACGGCACACGTGGAGTTCACTCGTGCCAGGAACGTAACCCCATCCCCCCCGATCACGTGATCAAACAACTCTGATGATGATAATGTACGCCTATTGGCGTCATCTGGTCCAACACCAATGGAGACGAGGCTCTAAGGAAAGCTGTCTCGGGTGTGGACCAATCAACTTCAAGGACAGTGCATATCATTAATCGGAGTTGTGTTTTTTGTTTGCATTCCGACTGCAGGTATTGTGGTCAATGCAAACATGACTCCTTGTAAAAAAGGTGTCAGTTTTGTTGTAGATAAAAGGGTAAAAAAAACAATTATCATATTTTGCTACTGGCAAATGAGGTTCCAATGGTGTAAAATTATAAGAGGTTTGCAGAAGTCCAAAATGTTATAGAAAGTGGGGGGTAAATAGTTGATCTATAAGGTTTCCGAAAATTGTCGACCCCTACCCCCCCCCATCAGGACAGCTCTACACCCTCCTCGTGGTATCTCTTATGCGTCTACGTCGACGAAAACTCACCTCGCTTAGCTCTGAAGGAGCCCAGTACGAGAGTGACTCTCACAGCATATGCTGACGAGATTATCCTCTTCTTGCAAAGCCTTGACTTTATATGATGAGGGTGATGGTTTATATGATGATTTATATGATTATGGTGTATATGATGTTGATAGTTTATATGATGATTGTGATGGTGGTTTATTTGATGATGATAGCTTATTTGATGATGGTGATGATGGTTTAATGATGACGGCGGGTTATTTTATGATGATGGTTTATGTGATGATGATGATGGTTTACATGATGATGGTTATGGTCTATATGATGATGGCTTATATGATGATGGTGGTTTATATGATGATGGTGGTTTATATGATGATGATGATCTTACCTAAATAAGTAATTTTTTGTCTGTCTGTGTGTCTGTCTGCGCGGGTACCTTGAGATGTTTTTAACTGACAACTTTACATATCGAAAAAGTACACGGATACCACGCTGTATGCCACAGGATGAAAAAGCGCTATTCGTATTTCACATCTGTCAACTTTAAAGTAGTTAAATTTACAATTTAGTACTATTAATGATTATATTACTACGCTGAGCGCGCGCCAGAGCACGCATCTGCACATGCGTGAGACAGCTGATCCGTTGGTTGCCCCTAGCAACGCGCATGAAATCGATGTTGGCGGGGAAAAATTCTCATTCGCGTTAAAAATGCTAAATAACTACACACAAGACTGAGGTAAATTCTTCACAGTGTGATGTCCTCTTCGCCCCCCCCCCTCCCCAATGTGTGCAGTTACTACTAAAGAGTCACTAGATGCTACAACTATAGGCCATAGATACTACTGTAGAGCGGGCAGGGGGGATGGTGGGTGGGGGGTGGGAAGGTAGCATCCCAGCCTGCAAAGGTACCACCTCGGCCGGCTGGGCAATCTAGGCGAGGACGGGGCCTCTGCACGGGACTAGGCCTCACCACTACACTATGTGAAGTGAGTACTATTATAGAGTCGATATATACTATTATAAAGTCAGTATATGCGACTATAGAGTAGGTAGATACTACTGGAGAGTTTGTAGTTACTGCTACTGTAGAGCGGGCAGTGGGGGGGGGGGGGGGGTATAGCAGCCAGCCCCAGCCTGCCAAGGTGCCACCTTGGCCGGCTGGGCAATCTAGGCGAGGTAGGGGGCTCTCCACGGGACTAGGCATCATAACGGCACGTTGTATACTTACTAGATTCTATTATAGAGTCAATATATACTATTATAGAGTTGGTAGATACTATTATAGACTCGGTAGATACGACTTTAGAGTCGACAGATACTACTGCAGAGTTGGGAGATACTACTGCAGAGTCGGTATATGCTACTGTATAGTTAGTAGATACTATTGTATATTCAGTAGTTACTACTATAGTCGGTCGATACTGCTATAATCAGCAGATACTGCTATAGAGTTGGTTCCTACTATATAGTCAGTAGATACTACTACAGTCAAAATATTCTGCTGTTGAGATGGTAGATACGACTATAGAATCAGTAGATACTGTTATAGTCAAGATATACTGCTATAAAGGTGATAGTTACTACTATAATCAGTTGATACTGCTTTAGAGTCAATAGATACGACTATAAATTCAGTCGATGCTCTTATAGTCATTAGAAACTATTGTAGGGTCTGTATATATGACCGTAGAGTTGGTTGATACTATTGTAATGACAGGGTGACACCTGCCGGCCTGTTATATTACGGTTATAGCTGCATTACATTATGCCTTATTATGAAGGGGCGTATCTGGGGTAAAGGTTAAGGGCGGTGTCAGTTGAGAAGCCCTGGGAACCCTCCGGAAGGGTCTAGTAGGTTCTAGAGGTGGCCAGAGGTGGAGCTTGGCCATGCCAGGCGGCGGCGGCAGCAGCATAGGTTTTCCCACCATTGGAACCTCATTTGCCAGTAAAAAATATGATAATTGTTTTTTTACCCTTCTATCTGGCAACAAAACTGACACCTTTTTTTACAAGGAGTCATGTTTGCATTGACCACAATACCTGCAGTCGGAATGCGCCTTTTGGCGTCATCTGGTCCAACACCATGTGAAACTAGGCTCTAAGGAAAGCTGTCTCGGGTGTGGACCAATCAACTTCAAGGACAGTGCATATATTGTCAGAGTTATGTTTTTTTGTTTGCATTCCGACTGCAGGTATCGTGGTCTATGCAAACATGATTCCTTGTAATAAAGGTGTCAGTTTTGTTGCCAGATAGAAGGGTATAAAACCAATTATCAATAGGTTTTCCCCTTTATCTGGCAGTAAAACGGTTGATGTTACCCCCCTCGCCCGACTGAAACCTTTTGCAAGGAATCATGTCTGCATTAACCACAAGTACTTGTGGTGAAAATACAAACAAAAAACATGCTCTGATAGTATATGCATTGTCTTTGAACCTTTTATTATATTTTGACACTGGCAAAGGAGGTCACATGAAGCAGCAGTAGCAGCAGCAAATGATGACGCTGCAGTTGAAACCCTTAAGTAAAATTGGCCTACACCAGAGAAAGCCTTCTTGTACCACCAGAAAAAGCCTTCTAATGCCACCAGAGAAAGCCTCCAGCTTCAATCACAGCTCCTGAATGGCTCCGAGAGCATCCAGCAGCAGCGTCTCTCCAGCCAGCGTGGAGCGGAGTCTCGCAGCGGTGCTGGAGGTCTCAGCTGCGGTCTTCCACTTCTACTGGTGGCCCTTCACGAGGTTGCTGACTGTCACCACCCCTACAGAGGTGAAAGGTAGAGCCAGAGTCCTCTCTCCACTGGTTCCTTTGAAGAGGAAATTGCAGAACAAACGTCGTGATTTTTATTTTATTTAAATTTTACTTTTAATTAATTTTAATTTTTTACCTACGTGAGTTTACCGGAAAAAAAATCTAAGAGTAACAAAGGGACCATTCAAGAAATGTGCGAGGTCGTAATGTTTGCATGCCTTGCTCCACTCAAAGCTCCGCCATGCGTCAAAAAGGCTCCGCCAATAACCTGGCAGCCT